GCCTCCTTTTCCTTTTCCACTTTATCTCGCAATGCATTATCATATTGTTCCACAAATTGTTTCAACGTTATTTTGGAATTTACATATCTATCAAAAAATGCATGCATACTTTCACTACGTTGGGTAGTAGACATATCTGCCCAGAAAGTATCTTTAAGAAATGCAAGCACCCAACGTACTCTTTCTTTATACAATCCAGATAACCATTCATTCTCATGAAGGTTATACACATCAATGAATTTGTTCCACCGTTCTTCGAACTCTTCACGTGTCAACGAATCATACACAATATTTTGTAACGTAAACTTGATAGTTTCATATTCGTTATACCCTCTTAACTTTTCAGGCAGCTTCTTCATTATATGCCACAAACACCACCTATGTCTTATACTGGGGAAAACAATCTCAATTGTATTTTGCATGGCCTTATCTTGATCAGTGATAATTCCATTAGGAGCAACATCCATGCATTCAAGCCAAGAACGAAATAGCCACACAAATGTCTCTGTGTCCTCATGTGAAATTAGCCCACAACCTAACAATGTCGAATGTCCATGATAATCAACCCCCACAAAAGCCGCAAATGGCATATGATACTTGTTCATCAGATACGTTGTGTCAAAGGTCACAACATCATCGAAATCTTTATATGCGGCCCTACATCTAACATCAACCCATAGCACATTCTTCAATCGACTCTCTTCATCTACATCAATCATGTACCAGAAATTTGAATTCTCCTTTTGCATTTTCATAAAATACTCTAGCACTGCCGAAGCATCTCCAACTCCAAGTCGTAGCCTTCTAACTTTTTCAATGTAATTCCTACAATCTTTTTGTAGAAATGACAAATTCTCTACACCTCCTGCCTCAACTGAACATGACTGAAAATTTTTACACGGTCTAATCCCAGCCTGATCATTAACTTCAAGCCTCCTTTTCACAAAAGGCTGTATCGTTCGGTTTACTTTGAAATATCTTCTTTTCGTCGGACTTGTAAGATCATGGTTATGTTCAAGCACAACTGACTTAATTTCCCATTTGTATTCACCATTCAAAGTTGCACTAATCCGACTCTTACAATCTGTTTTTGCAACAGGTTGTTTTTTCAAGGTATTTCTGCATTTACTTCTCTCCTTCCCAGAACAAGAACACGCCACTGTCACGTATCTCATCTCCCCATCATCTCCTTTCTTTGACGTACGTATCATTGCTTCAAAACCCATTTTATTCCCATACCTTCTGTAATACTTCACCAAACTATCAACTGAATCAAACACCATTCCAATATGAGGCTCCACTTCTTCCTCTGCACATCCCATATCTTCTAATTCATCACATTCATTTTCCTGATTCAATGGTTTTATAATAAAGAAAATTATAATGTGAACACATCATAATAAACAATACAATACACCATATTTAAAAAAGTTTCAAACACAATTTACCTCAATATCATTGAAACGAGGCAAACTGGACTCTTCCATATTCAGTTATTTCATGCACAACTAATACCAGTTTTCGTGTACACGAATCTAGTTCACAATTGTCTATAAAACGAATATGATTGTTATCTATCAAACATATATTCAATCCAAAATAGAATGGAAACTAAATGAATATATAAAATAAGTCAAAAATTCTTTACCTTAATAAAAAATCCGAGCTTTAACAGGTTTGATATTTTGTTATTTTTGTTTCTCGATTATCTCTGTAAAACAAGGTATTGCTGCTGGTGCTTGGCTATTGAGGAAGCAACTGGCATCGAAGCAAGGAATGACAACACGCAACAAAGGAGAAGCGTAGAAAAATAAATGGCGCAGACGAAGAACTGAAGAAAAACAAATGACGGAGATGAAGGAGAAGAGAAGAAAAAAATTCTGGCACTTAAAAATGAAGCGTATTAGACAAGCCATTCATTAATATTAATTAACAAAAAAAAAAAAATTCAACAAATATGGACGCCAGTCCATCTAGTTTGGATTGCCGTCCATTTAGTATGGACGGCCGTCCATCCTATGGGGACGGCAGTCCATGTAGTATCGACGGTCGTCTATCCTAGATGGACTGTCGTCCCCGTAGGATGGACGACAGTCCACAGATGATGGACTGGCGTCCATCTTTATATGGACGTCCGTCTATTTTAACTAGACGCCCATCCCACAAATTTGGACGGGTGTCCATCGTTTTTTTTTTTTAAGCTAAACTTTTTTTTATGGACGGTTGTCTAAGCTACATGGACTGCCGTCCCTATAGGATGGACGACCGTCCACAGATGATGGACTGGTGTCCATCTCGGGAGTCCATATAATATGGACGCCCGTCCCACAAATTTGGACGGGCGTCCATTGTTTTTTTTTTTTTTTTTTTTTTTGAACTAAACTTTTTTTATGGACGGTCATCCAAACTACATGGACTGTCGTCCCTATAAGATGGACGACTATCCATAGATGATGGACTATCGTCTGTCTTTATGGATGGGCGTCCATATAATATGGACGCCCGTCCCTAAAATGTGGACGGGCGTCCATCATTTTTTTTTTAAAAACTAAACTTCTTTTATGGACGGTCGTCCATTCCACTATGAACGATCGTCCGGGATGTATGGATGGCCATCCGAAAACGTTGGACGGCCGTCCATTTATGTCAGTATTCAATCGTCCAACGTGATGACCTCTACGTGTTTCGGTGCAATTTTTTTGGTGCAACTCTTCAGTGGATATAGCATTTCTGTAGATAGATAGCATGAGTTTAAAGTCAAGACTGACAATAAACAAAAGACTCAACATAAAAATTTGTCAGGAAAGTAGATTTGTTATTATATTTTTTCGGTTTGAAATTTTTCAAACGCCGTAAACAGCTGCATTTCAGTTTCATATACAATTACAACGTAATTTCACAATTTTCTCTTACCACTTTAACATAACAACATAGTTAGTATTACTACATCAACTGATGAGTTTGACTAAATACGAACGATTATCCCTTAGAGACGAATGACTGCTCCTTAGAGACGAATCTTCGTTCATTCATAACTCATAAGAAATGGTTGTTCATTCATAAGGAACAATCATTCAATTCATAAGGAATGGTTGGAATGGTTGTTCCTTTATGAATGGAATGAATGTTCTTTCATAAGGAACAATAATTCCTTATGAAGGAACGGTTGTTCGTCTCTAAGAAACGACAATTCATGTTTATTCAAAGTCATTTAGTGTCTTGAGTATGGTGGGAGCTAACGTGATAGTTGTCAACTCAGTTGCCACGTTAAGGTTGTAAGTAGAGATGGGCGCAAGGCGGGTTGGGGCTGAGGAATGGATCCCTCGTACTTGACCCTTGAGGAAATACTTGTACCCAAGTTGGAGGGTGTCAGAGAATCCCCATCCCCTACCCGTTCATGTTCGAGTGATACTACCTGCGGGGGAATCTCCCCCCAAATGGGGAGTAATCCCCATAGGGAATTTTCCACCAACGGGATGTGGTCCACTTGGCAGATTTTCCCCGTGAATGGGGATTAATCCCCATTGGTCATTTTCTATATAAATTTCATTAGCTTAATGCCTTAAACATCTTTAAAAAAAAAAAAAAAGATATATTGTATTAGTTAAAAACAAAAAAAAAAAAATATGACCAATCATAATTCATAAGATATATTGCCATTTTATGAGTTAAAGACACCGTTTATTCGAACAAAAATATTTGATCACATATTAAAGGTAATATGAATAGTGATTTTAATAGATGCATTTGTATGTCTATATATAATCTATTTCAATAAAGTAAAAATGCAATCAAGCACTTTAAATATTAAAAAAAATTAGACCATTTGATTACATCAACCAAATTAATCAATACCTATAGACTATAGTTCATTTACAAGAATATTTTAAAGATAGAATACTATTACTATAAACTATAGACTCCGCTTAAATGAAAACTAATTATGTATGAAAAAATGTTAATTTGAGAGATTAATTGTTTAATTGTAACAAACCAATTATATATATATATATAAAATTGTTTTCTTTAACCTCGTTTTTTATTAATATTTTCTTTTAATCAATTTAGAGGGTTACCGATTAAATAATATTTTCAATTAATTATAAATATGTTTAATATTAATCAATCTCTTCCAAAAAAAAAAACAAATAAATAAATAATTTAATAAATTTTGACAATGTGGACAATTTGGAGTTTTAGACTTGTAATTTTATACATTTAACATTAAGAGTTCCAATTCCTATTAGATTATATTAATATGTTAATAGTTTATATTAATTTATAAATTATTAAATTAAAATGTATAGTGACATAATATATTTTATTTATGTTTGAGAATAAATTAATATTATTCATTATAGGTTGTAATTCATTAATTAATTACAGTAATAATAATAAAAATAATAAAACTTTGCATAATGGAAATATTATTCCGTTATTGAAGATTTCAATAGTGATTAGTTTTATAATATTCAATAAATATGTAAAAAATTAATAATTTAATGATTTTTTTTTAATTGCATAACTATGGTGATCATATTTGACAATGGGCACTAAAACATAATTACTTAATCAGTTAATTAGAGAGGGAGAGACCGAGAGATATACTACTGAGATAATTCTGAATTATTAATTCTTAATCTTTACTCAAAGTATTAAATGTCCTTATATAACATAATAAATCTTTAATCTTTAATCAAATATCAAAATATATTCACTTTATACCTTATTGTTACTTCTATTATATAAATTAAAATATTCAATACTAAATTTAAGATAATAATTACAAAATTTGATTGCATCACATGATTTATAGGATGCTCATTTTATACAAAATTTTATAAAACATATAATTAATTAATTATATATTTTTGGGGAATTTTTAGGGTGAGGTGGGGCCATGCGGGGATACAACCATTCCCCAAACCCGACCCGTCCCGCACCCAGGGAATACTCTTCTCCCCATACCCGACCCCTCCCTAACCCATTTGGGGCAAAACTCTAACAGGACGGGTAAAACGCTCATCTCTAGTTGTGAGATTGAGTTGTGTCATAATTTTAATTCTTCATGAAATGTATTTACAATACATAACTAATATTCGGAGGGAAATCCCTTATCCAACAAACAAAATATGTTCCCTCTTCCAAATGACCCTCAAATCTGCAGTTAACATGTTAACATATCCATTATCCACAGATCTAACTGTAAATTTGGTGTCTTATAGTCCAAAGGCACCTCTTGCTTCCGTGTAACCGTAACCATGGTCTAGGAACAAAGCGGGGGCTGCCTAAGCTGTACCACAAAGTGCAATTAACTGAGCATCAGAAATTGAGTTTTCACATTCATTCTCTTTGGTTTAACCTTCACTTCTTTTGTTGGACCTGCAAAAACATGCCCACGGTTGGAAAACAAAGTCTCCCAAAAGTTACACATAATTATTTACTTTTATCTGATTAAAAACAAGGCCTCAAATGCAACCGAATTCAAACTGGAACTCAGTTGCTCCATAGCTTATAACAGACTTTATCATACTACTATCTAGGACTAACATAAATCCTATATCTAAAAAAATAATTCTTTGTTTATGTCCTTTTGTTGATTTTGTCTGTACAATTTAGCAAAAGACAATGGAGTTGAAAACGAAACTCTAGTTGATAATTTTACCTTAATTCATATAAGAAGCACTACCATTAATCAACAGTCAACCAGTAAACTTTGACAACAAGAGTGAAGGGGAGAAAATACATCTGAAAAGATTGAACTTTGCTCTTAATAAAATCCCCATTTTGACTCCAGAGCTCCGATTCTGGATCACCAATCGTCAGCAGCTTCTAGCTCAACCATATATGGTTCCTCAATCACATAAAGGCTCCTTCACCAGGAGATTGATTTTCTCCCGAAGAAATTCAAGAACATCTTCTCTACCTTCTTTTATAAGTAATTGTCTTAACCTCCCAAAAGTCACACTAGAAGGCTGGATTCCTCTTTCTATCATCTCTTCCAATAAGACACAAGCTTTAGTAACATTTCCTCTCTCACACAACCCATTTATAAGAACTGAAAAGGTATGCATGCTAGGGATGAACTGCTTCAACCTCATGAATTTCCATACTTTGAAAGCCATCTCTAGTTCACCCCTCTCACAAAACATTTTTATCATAATTGTGTACGTATCTGCATCTGGCTCACACACCTTTATCATCCTACGGAATACCTTATAAGCCTCATCAGTTTCTCCACGACCTATCAGGCCATTCAGAATTATATTGCATGTCCTCGAATTACGTGGCACACCCTTGCATTCCATCTCATTTAAAACCCTGTAAACATTTTTGAACCTGTTTGCTTTACAGAAAGCACCAATCAAGGCATTATACACCACAACATCAGCCTGAATTCCATTCCTTTCCATCTCCATGAATGTATCAACAGCATCCTCAATCCGGTTCTCTACCCCATATGTATGGATCAGAACACAATAAATGAAAGAAGTTGGCTGACAAATCCTAGAATCCATTCCCTTGACAATCCCGAGCGCTTCATCAACCCTCCCTGCCTTGCAAAGAATGTCAACCATTATACCATAGGTCACTATATCAGGATTGCAACCCATGTCAACCATTTCTCTGAATATTTCTCTTGCCTTGGGCAGATTTGGATCCTTTCCCCATCCATCAATAAGTATACTATAAGTTTTTGAGTCAGGAATGAAACGATCCTTCATGCTTTCAAATATCTCCTGAGCCTTCCTCACATTCTTAGACTTGCATAAAGCACTTAACAGGCCATTGAATGCCGCTAAATTTGGGGGGACATCATATTTTCCCATCATATTAAATGTGTAAACTGCTTCCTCCACCTTTTGAGCTCTAGCATACTTTCTCATAATAATGCAAAAGGTCTCAACATTTAGCATCCTCTTGTTCCTCATGGCATTCACAAGATCCCACATGATCTGGTACTGCCTTATCTTGGCCAGAGATTCAATCATGGTGTGGTAAGTCCTAATGTTGTGCTCATAGCTCCGCTGCTTTTCAGCCCATTTAAAGAAACGATATGCCAACATACCAGCATTCTCAAATTTCTTGAGGATATCTTCAACTATTTCTGGTGATACCCTAATGCCACTTTGGTCAAGGGCAGTGTCAAGCACTACTGTTGGGGAAGATAACATTATCTTACTTATAGTTTTTGCTGTATCTGTAATGTCTGTTTTTGGCTCACTTGAATACCTCCTGATTGACAAAATAAATCCTGATATAAATTTGCTCTGAAGATTGTAAACTTTGATCATGTTGTTGTAGCAAATTGAGTACTACAATTTATCTGAACAGAGAAAAAAAAAAGAAAAGAAAGAAATAACATCAAACATCATGATTGAAACTAATGCGTCAGCCTAAAAAATAATGCTTCTTTATATTTGATTAACAAGACTATATAATACACAAGTAAAAGATGTTATGGCAAAAATAAATAAATAAAACTTCCCAAGCATTAGCAGAATGGTTTTCCAATAGAAATTAAAGCCCGAATCCTGGATATCAAGTAATGTAAGTCTAGCGCCTCAATTACTATTTCCCACCAAGCTTCACAAGTTCTACCCTCAACTTAATTGTAGCTAGGAAGCAACATACATATTCAATAGATATAAAAGTCGAACAACACAACTTTAAATTGGCATCTGAAATTGTTAAGCAGATTGAACACAACTAAGCAGCTAAAATCCATAGAACAGGCTATCAATCCATTTAATTACATTGCAACCCACTAGTCATATATAAAAAATCATCCCATTTCTCAAATACCGTGATAAAATTACATAAATAGAAGAAAGGAAAAAATCTCATGAATTAGAATGCTAAAAGCAAGCAAATTTACAGTACTTAAACCAAATTTCCAAAATCCATATGCGGATAAAACGCAGTGAAACTCTTAAAAATCTCATACATTTGTTCATAACTATGGAAATGTGAGAGCTTAAGTAATACAAAACACAAAGTAAACAAAGCAGTTGAAACTAAAATCTGCTATACACATAATGAAAAGAATTGCCACTGTTACGGAAAACTATACGAGAATCCAAGCTTTGAATCATGTTTTCTGTTAACCAAGATTCAAACAACCAAATGAATAAGAATAACAAAAAAATACGAACTAATTTAAATCCGAAAAATTATTGACAAACAAATCCACTATTTTCCTTTTTGTTCTGTAGGCTGCACAGATGATACACAAATCCTCAGTTATATATATATACCTAAAAGACGGCCGGTTTCTTCGTGTTCGCAATGGAGCTTAGCGAAGTTTTCGAACCAGCATGAGAGTGGAAAGTCCCTGAAACGCACCGTTTCAAGCACAGGTAGAGGCACTGAGGCAACTTGATATTTTAAGAAAAGGACAAAATCAAATGAGTGATGCTATGGGTACTAACGGATGGGTACTAATCTGTGTACTAACTAAAGCATAGTATCCGTACTATACTAAAGCATAGTACCCGTACTATACATATAGTACGGGTACTATGCTTTAGTTAGTACACAGATTAGTATCCACCGTTAGTACCCACCGTTAGTACCCAAAGTATTATTCAAATCGAGTACACCCCTTACAGTTTGGGAAAGTTTCAGCAGTACCCAAAGTATTATTCAAATCGAGTACACCCCTTACAGTTTGGGAAAGTTTCAGCAGTTGGAAACCAACATTTTTAATCAAATTCCCAATTAGTTTTTAAAAATATTCAAACACCTACCACAATCCTATCTCCGTCCAATTTGGAGCGCTAACGGCGGACACAAAAATTTTTGAAGGACTATAGTTCCCCTAATTTGACCTTGATTGTCAATTTGTTGATTGACATTAGAGTTTTGGGAAATTTCCCTTAAATCCCTTGAGATTTTCTCTATTTTTTTGAACTCTCTTGTTAACAGTCAACTCTCACCCCCAACCCCAACAGTAACACAGCCGCCCCACCCATGGCAGCCATCGCAAAATTACCCAGACTAACTGGTCTCATATCAAAACTCTAGCAAATCTGTATCAAGCCCAAACCCAATTCAAATTTACCACAACAGCCTTTATGAATATCAACCAGAAAAAGAAATTGCTCGTTGGAATAAAAATTAAAAATCAACGGAAGATGAACAATACCAATTATTTCAAAATCTTCGAACACAACAGATATGTGCTACGCAGGAAGGAGGGGCTGCTGCGTATGGTTGGAGTGGGTTTCTCTTTTTTCTTCAGTTGAAAAGAAACTGCTTTGTCCTTCCTTTAACTGAACTTAGACGGCCTCCCTAATCGACTAAGCTTAGGGAGGTGTTTTTAATTTTTTTTTAAATTAGCGGGGTAAATTGATTTAAAACGTAATAGTTTCCATTTCCAAACAGTAAATGAGGGCAGTTTAAAACTCACGGATTTGAGGAAAGAATAATACTTTGAGTACTAATGGATGGGTACTAATTTGTGTACTAACTAAAGCATAGTACCCATACTATATGCATAGTATGGGTACTATGCTTTAGTTAGTACACAAATTAGTACCCATCCATTAGTACCCATAGCATCACTCTTGAGGAAATATGGTAACATGATAATTTTCCGCCAAAGTATGTTGAACGCACCGTTTTTCCTCTCCTAACTAGATAGATTTAAAAGTATTTTTTAACATAATTAATCCCTTAAAATGAAACCTACCTATGAACAATTCAGTTTAATTAAAAAAATTAAAACAGAAAAATAGTAAAATGAATCAACTTATTCTCCATATATAAAGAGAATCAAACTCCTCTTTCAATTTTAACTATTCCATCTTCTACACGTAATTACATTGTAAAATATTTGTGTTTAAAATATTGATTTGAAACTTCAAAGTCCAAAGCTTATCGAACCCAACAAGAATTTTCCATTTTGCAATCAAATTACAAAGGTAGCTGGCGATGCACTACACAATTGACATCCTTGAGCTGTTTCTTGACGTACTTTGCCACAAAGAAGATCTAAACGACTCATGACTAAGCGGCAATGGCCTCTCTGGCAATCTCGGAATGTCAATATCACCTTCAAGCATCTTCAAAGCTTCAGCAATGGTAGGCCTGAACGCCACCATAACATGTGCACAAAGAATCCCCACAAGAACAAACCTTTCCATCACCCCTTTCGGCCCTTCTTCTCTTATTGACTCTTCGAAAATTTCTGGCACTTTTCCAGACTTTGCAAGCGTCCATGCCCAGTCTGTGATCAAAAGGAACGATGAATTAGATGTGTCCAGCACTTTTCTCCCGCTCATTATCTCAAGAATCACAATTCCAAAACTGTACACGTCGCTCTTCTCTGTTAACTGTCCATAAAGAGCGTACTCTGGTGCTAAATAGCCGTGTGTGCCGGCAACTCTTGTGGTGAGGTGAGACTGGCCTTCTAAGTTTTGTTTGGCTAATCCGAAATCTGAAACTCTGGCTTTGAGTTCTGAGTCTAAGAGTATGTTTGTGGCCTTGATGTCTCGGTGATAAATGGCGGGTTGGAGTCCATAGTGTAAGTATGCAAGTCCTTTAGCCACATCGAGGATGATTTTCTTGCGTTGAGGCCATGTTAAGTTGTTTCTCGTCAGGTTATTGGACAGATGGTCACTGAGACTACCATTAGACATGAAATCGTAAACAAGAAACCTTCTTTTACCTTTCAAGTTATCGCTTGTGACACAGCAGCCTCGAAGAGAAAGAAGGTTTCTGTGCCTTATTTTGCTTATGATCTCAACTTCATTGATGAACTCTTCATCGCCTTTTGAGTCCAAATCAAGGATTTGTTTCACGGCAACCGAAGTTCCATCCGAGAGAGTTCCTTTGTAAACAATCCCAGATGCTCCTTGGCCTATCATATTTCTCTGAGAAAATCCGTTTGTGGCACGTTCAAGCTCCGATACATGGAACCATTTTGCGCCACAGTTTGGTAAAACACTGGCCTTAAAACTGCTGACAAATTCATCATGCAAAGCATTTCTCTTCCTTTTCTTATCCCACTTCCTGTACACAATGATAATCACAAAAGCCAGCAAAACACCAGTAACAGCACCAGATAGTGCAAACGCTAATTTGATTATGCTTTCGCGACTCATCGATGGATTGCTTGCTGCTAAAGACAATCCTAGTATGCAAGCAGCAGCGTTCGGATCCTTGGGATCATTAAGAATTCCTGCAGCATACAAAATAGCAAAGTAAAAGCATTTTGTCGAATTTGGTGCTAATCCTACCAGCTGAGAAGTGACTGTGTAGCCAGCATCAAGACATGCAGTACACTGAGTTAGTCCAGTCATATTCTTGCAAGCCGTGTCTAATGGGGTTACTTGACCGGCCTTCTCTATCCAATCCTTTTTCGTTTGGATTCCGGCGCAGCTGGAAGTGTTGGTGACGAACTGGGTGTAGTTCTTGAAGCAAAAAGGGACTACAGCCGGATCGATTGACAAGGCGGAGAGTTTGTCTTGGAATTTGGTTAAGCAAGAGAAGGAAACATTTAGATTCGCTAGATCAAAATTGGAGGTGTCTCTCAGGTGTTGGGCGAGTCCCATGCCCATAAGACTGAGCAGAGCTTGGCAGCAGTTGGTTCCATTAGGATCCTGCAGGCACAAAGATTTGTCCCAGGGGTAAGTTTGGACGTAGCTGAGATCCATAGGACATGAAGTATCAATGGAGAAAGTTGTGAAGAAGGAAAGGAGTAGAAAGAGAAAGAAGAAGATGAGCTTGGCCATGTTGAGTTTCATTGTGTAATTTTGCCAGAGGCATTGTCTCTTAATCTTTAATTAAGTCTGTAAATTATAAGTATCAAAATTGGCTGCTGGTCAAAGTGCACGGGTGTTTGGTTTACGAGTTTGATACGTATATGTCACCTACTGTGAGGTCAAAGTCGGAACAATCAAGGCATTTTCAACAGTGGGTGGTGGGTACTTTTATATTCATGGTGACTTTACAGAAAAATTTTTTCAGTATCCAATATGTAACACATTTACATGTATTCAATTTAACAATTATTATAAATTAATTTTTAAAAAATTTCCAAACTAAGATTAAATTCGAATACTGTATATGATATGACATGTAAATATATACATCAACTGAATTGAATGTCTTAATATTAATATATTGTGCGCGCAAGTAAAAATTGGTTGTGTATTATCTAATTTTGACTTCAAAGCACGTGATACTTTTTATTATTTTTAGTAGTATTTTTGAAATATTATTAATAGGTAGAATTTTGTGATTATTACGAGATAGAATTTAAAATTTAACAAAAAAAACTCTTTAAGTTTGCTAATTTAACTTAACACCCTAATATATAAAAATTTTATAAAATGACAAAAACACCCCCACCACACACAGTTGTCAGATTCCAGTCACCACCGCTGAAATGTAATGTTACGACGCATGACCTGTTGGATCTGGACGGTCGTGTGCCGAGATGGACTTTTTCAGCTAGATGGTCAATGGTCAGATCTAGTCGTGTTTGGTCGTCAATGACGGCCAAAGATCTAGCCTGTAAATCTAACATTTTCCAGTCAAATCCACAGTAGATCTGTCCGGTAAATGATAGATCGACGCACTACCGATAATTTCTACACTTTTTTTTAGGAGGTGTTTAGTTAAATTAATAAACTTAAGGGGTTTAAACTAGTTGAATAAAATATAATAGTATTTTCAGAAGATAGAAACAAACATATATGTTAGAAATAGTATTAATAGGATAGGAAAAAATAATTAAACAAACGGACCCCCCAATTTCATGTTGGTCTAAATTCAACTAAGTTGAAGCAAGTGACAGATTAACTAATGGTTGTCTTTCTACTATCTGAAATGCAATATCACCTTTGATTCCAAAGATACCAATGCCTTAGAAGGTGATCAAATTACTTTTGAATTGGAATATAGTGTATATATATATATATAAATACATTAATTGTTTCTGCAAGTTACATGTGAATCTCAACTATTCAAGATATTATATTTCAATAATCAAATTTAAACATTTTTACTGACTCTGAGGCCCAAGCTTGTATACTAGAAACCAAAATAATGGGCCAAGCAACTTGGTGCAATATGTAGATAGAATTGAATATGGGCCACCCATTTCCCTCCACTAAATGACAAATTGGACCGCGTGTTCTCAAATAGAGCCTGCAGAAGCACGGTCCAGGAAGCTTCTTAACTTTTTTTTTTTTTTTTGGGTCTAAAAGCAACGTGATTTCAGTGATCATCAACAACATTTACTTGCATGACTTGTTTATGGTCAATGAGACCTCTCACCCTCACCCATCGCCATCGCCATCGCCATCTTCAACCTCAAGCTCTCTGTTCTTTTCAAGTTCCTTTTGTTTCAAGTTAAAAGGGAAAAGAACTACTGCTTATTTTCACTTCGTGAATTTTCTTGTGCTGAAGAAACCCAACTGAATTGACTTATGCTCATGCAAAATATTTCAGATTCTACATTTAAAAAATCTAAGAAATATAAAAAATCTAAGAAATATCTGATAAAAGTAGTGTTTTGTGAATAATGTTTTTAGAAAACAAAAACAATGAAAAATATGCATATAACATATAAGATATGTCACCAACCTGCAGCCCATATCATGTTATAAATGATGAGAAGAGAGAAATATTAATGGGGGTGGCATGGGCTGTCACACCCAGTAGAATATGTCAAAAATATATGGTTTCAAAACTTCAATCCCTTTATCAAATCATCATTTGATTCCGGTTGTCACGACTCACGATCACGAAACAAGTAATAAAGGGAACAAATTAATAAGCGAAGGACAAGCAGTGGCCAGCTAATACTGAACTAATAACTGCACCCTTTACTGCATTTTCTATTACTTAATTAATAACTCATGCCTCTTTCATTCAGTAGTGGAGCCAACACCAAATTATAAAGGCAACAGTCCACGCAAGTTGGCAAGCAGTTGGAGGAGCAATTAGTGCTCTACCTGTTGCCAATTGTCAGCTCATTCATTGATTCAAGTCTTTTTATATTCTTAAGTTTGTAAGAGAAAGAGTCGATTCTTGTCATTTCTGTTTCTCAAAACTCCTCCAAGCAAAAGGGTTCTTTCGGATGATTAATTTTCCCTAAAAAAACACATATGACAGTAAAGAATGAAACCACCCCTTGATGACCTCGGATGGTAAAATAACCAAAAAAAAAAAAATTTATGAGCTTCTAAGTTTGATCTCTAGCGATCGTTAATAGAAGTGATTACATAAAATATTTACTAACTAGATTAAGTCTCTAAAAATTAATTAAAGTATTTACAAACTGGTTCGGGCTTAGTCATCTTTCAGGATCCAGTATTATGCGGATCCTAGAAAGGATAACATCAGCTAGTCATTTTCCCAAACCTAATAATCAAATAAATTATATATAATTAATAATATTCATTAGATATACTAAAAAACTTGCGTATTCCAAGAAAGTTTCTATTAATACTGTATTGGTAATTGTATTTTCAGACTTTGGGATACCAAGGATTATATTTCTAGTAAAAGTAATTTAAAAAATATAATGATATTTATTTATTTATATAATTTAACACTCACCTTCACATCTTATTTAAAAATTCTTTATTTTTTTAAAATAAATAATTATAAGGTATATGATAATTTAGTCGGTGGAACCGTGGAAGATATTGTTCAGAAACATGGAAACAAAAGCCAAGTATAAATAATGGCCCACCATTACTTTTTTTCCTCCTTTAGAAAAAGAAATTGTACCTTTCCTTCAAAGTTCACACGCACCGACCACCGAGAGAGGGAAAGACTTCGTTGATTTTCAGAAGTAATTTTCTCCTCTCAATTTCTAACTATTTCCTGAATTTTTCTCTTCACCTCTGATTTTTATTCTTCACTCGATTCCCGCCAATTTGTCTCCACCGTCTATACACAGCGCAACCTCTCTCTTGACTCGCTTCCCTGTTTCAGATCCCCTGTTTTTTTTCACGCAAAATATCTTCTAAAATCAACAAAAATTCGAATTCTTCGTTCTTTTATTCAATCTTTTTTTTTTTTTCTTCTCAATTTTTCTTGAAATTGTGAAGATGGATGAGTTCGGTGTGTTAACGGAGCGTTTCGGTCTGAAGCCGCAAGGCAAATCTGCTCCAATGGCCGCAACAAAACGATCCGCCGTACCCACCACGAACGGTCCGGCCCGAAATTTTTCATCCAATTCGGGTCTGAACACAAAACCCTCTTCATACAATTCAAATAACTTTAATGGGGGGTTTCCTGATGACAGTCTCTTTCAATCAAACACCAACAACAACGGTTATAGCGCCTTCAGCGACGACGTTTTTGGCCAATTTCAAAACTCGATGAGTAAATTAAGTAATGGGTCTTCATTGGATTACGATTCTATATTCAAGGTATCAAGTAATTCCGGTCCGAAATCTTATGCGTATGATGATGATGATGTTTTCGGGTTGAATAAGAACAAAAACGATGACGTTTTCGGGTCGTTTGCTTCGCCGCCGAAGCAGAATGATTTAGTTGATGACTTGTTGGGGAGTGGTTTTGGTGGAGCTGATACGAGATCGAAAAATTCGAAGCAAAATGTGGGTGGTTTTGATGATTTGATCCCTGGGTTTGGTGCCAGTAGTTCTCCAAATAATGGGTACTTGTTTAAAACTTATAAAATAAACTTGATCAGTACCTTAATTTTTTTATTTATTAATGGATAGCACCTAATTTTTATTTATTTATTAATGGATGGACAATGCTTTAGTTGATTAATTGATTGTTAGCTAGTTTTTTCTTGAATATCTATGTACAACATGAAACCAGGAGTTGTAGCCTATAATTAAAAACCAATCTTTATGATAGTAATGAAAATGTCATGCATGATCAACTGTTTAGGGACTTTTAGTTCTTTCTTTTTAATGGTTATTTTGTGTTTGTGTATGGATGAGTGAGTTTACATGTTTCCAGGCATTTCCAGCAGTGTTAGGAAGATATGGAAGTTGTAATGTGTTTATGCTTTGCTGTATGCACTGTCTTCTGGTGGACTGATTTGCTTGGACTAAAGCTTTGCAGCTTTTACTCCCTTGAGCTAGTGAACCTGGGATCTTTATTCAGTATTTTTATTGATTTTATGCTATTAAGTGTATCTTGTCATTCAAAGCACTAAATACACCGGCGTAACAGTGTTACACACGCACTCACATGTAGGGATATAGATGTGCCAAAAACCCAGCATTATTGTGAGAGATGGAGGAAAATTTAGGCATGTCTCATTGAAGTGTTTTATATATTTTCACCATGGCATGAAATGCAGTATCTCAGACCACGTGTCCTTTTCATTTTGGCTATTAAATTGTAGGATTACTGATTCCCAATCTTGCTGGTTACTAAAATAGTTTTCTTACTGGTGATGCATGCCAAAAAAGTACCTTGTAGGTTGGTTTATGGTCAAAATTTGAATGCATGGCCATTTATTTTTTATTCATTTGTGCAACTAAATTTCAAAGCTTATCTGCAAATTTGCTAGTCAGAGTCTTCTATTGCAATATTCAAAGATGCATATTTTTTCTAATAAATTCTTGTATTGATGTTATGAAATACAATTTGTTATGTTGTGATATATAAAATCAATGTTTTTATTCTCGTTTCTTACCTTTTGAGTAGAACAAACGTAGGAGCCTCCAAATCAGCCTTCATGTCAGCAGATGACCCTTTCGTTGTATTAGAAGGAACTTCAACCGCAGCATATAATTCCTCAGATTCATTCTCAGACCCACTGGAAGAGCTCGGTAAGCTCACTCAATCTGGAGGCAGAAAGCCTGGTGTTTCATCACCAAAAGTTTCACCAATATTGAATCCCCCTCCAAAACCATCTAAAGTTTTGAAGACAGATCGAGGTTATTTTTCTTTACTGTATAACATGAGGGCTTTCTGTTCCTTCAATCCCCCATAACTTTAGTGTACTAAACATGTTTTATGACTTGGTTATAAATCCAGGCGTATCTTCAATTGATGAACTTGAAGATTTTGCCATGGGTAGGGTGCGAAATAGTGCTGATGGAAGCTCAGGTGTACGTCATGCTAAGGCAAGCAAGGATCAACGTAGCGCCAGGGCTAATAAATTTAAGGAAGCTGAAGATGGTGCACGAAAAACCCAAAAAAAGAGTGGGGATGATCTAGAATCCTTTTTTAGCATGGGTTCTCGATCAAGTAGTGCACCAAGGTCAAGGGCTACAACTTTGGTAAGAATTATTGATATAAAATATTAAAATGTATTCCATTTTATAATGCTGTAGATTAAGTTATCTGTTTCCTTTTGTGCTTCCCAGGACCCTGTCTTTGATGCAAAAATTAACAGGAGAGGACCTGATGTGGCGCAGAGGACATCTTCTGGGAGCTCACCAAACGTAAAGAAGGTTTCTTCAGCAACAAACTTGGTTGATGACCTTTCTTCAATGTTTGGTGGTAATTGATTGCTGACATGAACTTTCATTTACAACGTTATAAATTTAGCCTTTAGAGAGATATCATTTTCTATCCTCACCTTTTTTTTCCCAGCAGCTGCCCCATTATTTGGAGAATTTGAGGAATATGAAGGGGAAACCAAAGAAAGACGAAGAGCCAGATTGGGACGTCACCAAAGGACCAATGACCGTGTGGTATGCACTTGCTTTGCTTTTCTAACATGTGGCTAGATTCATTTTCCAGGATGGATGAATTGGCAAATTTTCTTAGTATATAGAGAATAAGAATGCTGAGGGGAGGTTCATTGGTTTAATGGTGAAACAAAATCTACCAGTGAATTGATAGAGGAACAGGACAAACAAATTGAAATACTCACTCATGTAGCAGTCTGAAAAATGTTTTTCTTCATATAGGTCAAATGATATTTTTCTCCGCTTGAGCATATTTTCTTTGTAAAAATAGCAGCTGTAATTGATAAAAACTTTGATAAATGTCCTGTGGCCCTTGAGACTTGGCTATGCATGTTGATAGACTAACAACTTATAGCTAATGTTCCTTCTAGACTGTATGGATCCAAACCTTTTGTCGAATTTCATTTTATAAATGTATTTATCTTCACACAAGGCAATTCTACAGTTTGGATTTTTGTATATACAGGCTAAAGCAGTTGCTGATATGAACCAGCGTGACTTTCAAACTCAACAGGAACAAGAAGAGAGGAGTGTAAGTAGTTCTAGTGTTCCATATGAAATTTTTGATGCATTAATGGGGATTCTCTGAGTTATGGGTTTGATTGTATTATATATAAATATTTATATGTGAAACTTTTGACAGTTCTTTTATCAAAAAAAGAAAAAAAAAAGTTGCATTCCATTATTTTGTTTCTTTACATATCTTTGTGGTTAGAAATGGGGGTGGGGTTGCTGTACTTTATGCTTATCTGTATTCTTTCTATCTTTGTTTATCTTGTTGCTGCTCAAATGATTTTGATATTGTTGTTATTTTTATCGTGATACAGAGGATTGCTGATCTGTTGGATTTTGACATAAAGCGCTGGGCTGCAGGGAAAGAGGGCAATATGCGTGCACTATTATCATCATTGCAATATGTGCGCTCTTCAGTACTATTTTAATTTTCTAGAAAGAGAATATTCTTTTGCATTAAACATCTGGGGTTGTAATACAAGAAAATGTTAAGAGTTGCTTGTTTTAGATTTTTGTTAGCTATTTTTCTACACTGAAGAGAGTCTAAGGTAAACATATATTTAAAGGTGATCAGGATATTTTTGTCGAGGATTTGAAACTACAATTTTAAGTCTGAAAGCATATCATAAGATCATTTGATCCTTTTAGTGGATGAAATGAGAGGTCTTACATTGCATGCTTGCATTCTGGTATCATCTCATTAAAAATTTTGAAAAAGAAAAAATGTTAAGGACAAGAAGTACATACTTGTGCGCACACGAAGTATACCTTTCTGTTACTACTTTTGCAAGGAGGTCTGTGTTGAATGATTACTTCTCTTTTGCAACAATTCCATGGTGCTTCTTAGTTGCTTCTCATTCTGGTCTAGTGAAACAGCAAGAAAGTGAACGTTTTATGCTTATTCATATATGATTATTCAAGTATTCTACCATGATCTAGGTCACTTGCACTTTAGCTGAAAAATAGTTTTTTTTTTTTTTTTTTATTATTTTTATATTTTCTTTTCTGAAATTACTATTGAAAGTTTTGGATTTTTGATTTCTTAAGCTGCATGAAATGAGCCTTTTATTGGCCATGCAAAGTGCAAACTAATCTTGAATATCTGCCAAATGACGAACAGGTCCTTTGGCCAGAATGCGGTTGGGAGCCAGTTTCACTGACAGATCTCATTACTTCTAACTCAGTTAAAAAAGTTTATAGAAAGGCGACATTATGCATTCATCCTGATAAGGTTCAACAGAAAGGTGCTACTATTCAACAAAAATATACTGCAGAGAAGGTTTTTGATATTCTCAAGGTACATATGCTTGAGTATGTTTTGTACTTAAAGATTTCAAAGTTTTCTTTGATCCTCATAGTCTGCTAAATTATCTGCAATTTTATTTCTAGTCTGCTAAATTATATGCAATTTTATTTTTACTTTTTATTTTGTCCTTGGCCATAATACCATGAATAATGTTCTGCTAACACTAAGTGATAGGACATAGATATGATTGACCTATACAAATTCTGGGAACGTCTTTTCTCTGTTGTGCAAATTTGGGAGGTTTGAACAATCCCAATAGTTTCCTGATAATGCAAATTCTTGCGGGTAGCTATTGACTCTTGATCATGTGATATACTTTCTTCTGGATGTCCATTGTTTAAGGTTTTCCGAAGTATTTAAAATGTGTATCGCTTTTTTCTCATTTCTTGGGTGGTGCTCGAACATCACAAGTATTGTTCAGTTGTATTGATTTTAATATTTTATTTGAAATGCATTAAAACAGGAAGCGTGGAACAAGTTCAACAAGGAAGAACTTTCTTAAAAACCTTTGATAATTCAAACATCTATATACCAAGCCACAGCCACATCATTCGGCAGTTATGCTACCCTTTTGGGACGAATCTGCAAGTCCTGTACTTGCTTGTGTTGCGATGGACCCAACATGAATTTGTCTTCTGTGAAAAGTGAGAAAAATTTCAGTAGATACCCACGAAATGCATTGTAAAGAAAACTCTTTTTATTTTTTTTATGATGGTGTAAATGATTCTGCATCATAGAATATTTATGTTTTCTAAGCATACACAAGAGGTCAAAAAGCAGCATCTTCCTCGGTTAAAATTTGAATAGCCTAGATAGTAAAAACTTTTATTTTTTCTTGTAGTAGTTAGGCTGTGAGTGTAATATTCTTTTTAATTAAATTTGAATAATTAGAAACATGTTTATTGATGTTGTCATATTTAGTGAATGGCATTCTTTCGTGATTCTTTGGTTTCAAGTTTGGTTTTCAGATCTTTTCGTTCTTCTTTCGGTGTTCTTTTGGATCTTATATTAGAGTGTAACTCTAAAATTGTCAAAGCAACTGTAAGAGCAGTGTCAATTGATTGATTTATTAGGGTTATACTTGGGCATACGGTGCCACAAGGCGATTCCAATTCTGGAAGATATGAACAAAATATTCCACCAATTCTTTAGCTGTTACTAAATTGATGACCCAAAGGTTTACCAGTTGCTGGTTTGCTGCGGCATGAGAACCTCCAAGAAGCAAGAAGTACAATAATGGGAAACAAAAGATACATATATAAGCATTGGCTTTAAGTTTTCCGATGCATTTGGAAAATGGAATAACCGAGTAGATGATTATTTCCTTGTCTAGGAAAGTCTTCGTGAAATTGCTATTACCATTTAAATTCAACTAAACTTAATGAAATCAAAAGATCTAGATTAACTTCTGCAATAGAGCCCGGCAGCGGTAACCATAGTAATAACAAGGTAAGCCATTCTATGCTCCACTTAGGTATCTTCTTTTGTTGCTGTATACATCTCAACAGGGAAGTAGGACTCCGAGAGTGGTCAATGTCCTAGTGCTCCAACAAGACTAACCATGTCGTCGTAAGATTGGCGGAAGAAGCATTATAATCTCAGTAATCTAAATCCTGGAATTGGGACTTTAATTTCTTTGGTGATGAATTCATAACCTGGGAATCTTTCAGCAGCTTGTTACTCAGCGAATGTGAAGAGGAGCCGGCAGTAAACTTATTATGCATACACAGGATGATATATAAATGGCTACATGGGTTATAGAAATCAAAACCAGTGAGGAGGTTTCCCGGTGATCAGTCTTCAAAAGCAGCCTAAGAGCATTTGGAATAATGTGGTTACTCCAACACTTTACTAATAGTCATTGATGCCTTCTTCACTGTGACACTGTCTTGCCTTTTGATGGTGTAGTTTCAATTGCGTCCTATCACATACCAATTATTCATAAGGTTAGATCTGCATATAAATTATCAGAAAGAAAGAGAAAAAAAGTTAAAATGTACTTGTGTGCAATATTCCAACAATTCCCATATGCATAACTTAAAAGATAAATTCTCACATATTTACCTACTAATTAAGTGTTGGAGTAACAACCCAATTCCACATGCTTTTGGCTGCTCTTGGAGACTAATCACCTGGAAATCTCCTCACTGGTTTTGGTTTCTATAACCAGTATTTGTTACTTGACCTTCTTAATGCAGTCGTAGTTATCATTGCTTTCCAAGTTTACTGCAAGCCCTTCTTCGAATTCATTGAAAAACAAGCGGCTACAAGTCAGACGATGAATTCATGATCACCAAAGAAATTGAAGTCCCAAGTCCAGGATTTAGACCCCTGCAGTCTACGTCCCTGTTGAGATGTATATAGCACAAAAAGAAAATACCAAAGAGGAAACGAAATGGCTTTGGCCTCCAAATCCTAAGTTTTGCTTGAGCTTAAATAGGATTGATAGTAAGCCGTTTCTTCGTTCCTAATTCCCATTTCTGAGAAAGAAAGACAAAGAAAAAGAAAAAAAAGTCGTTTTCTTCCTCACAGTTTCTTTCTTTCTTTCCAAACACGAAAAACGACATGCACGAATGGCACCTAACCCCAACTAATCCCATTAATTTTGCGATATGGTTAACTTATATATTTCTAAATAAATTCCCACTATAAATCATGCCTAGGCAAAAAGTTGACAGAAATGTAGAAAATGGTCTTTGTCTTTTACTAATTAAGTTTATTAAAAGAAGAAAGTTTTAGGAAAACTCTTACCAATTTCATGTCTCAACAGTCAATCCATTATACACGTATTGAGTTAAGAGTTGTTGAGATGCAGGTATCTACTCACTCTTGTCTCAACTCTTCAACTTTCGGTTAAATTAAAAAGCTTTTCGTGCGTAATATTTAATGAAAATTTAATTAGACGTTGAAGTTCATTTGATTGATTTAAAAATAGAGGATGAAAGCTTTAGCCATAATTTCATACATATAAATGTATGAACTTGATAGCTTTTAGGTAAATGTTTTAATGAATACCAAGAGATTAAATACGTAATTAAGAAACTAAAACAAGATTATACGGACTCTTAATTACCTTAATTTCCACCCTTTTCCTTTGTCAGCTTTCAGAAACTCTCCTTCCTTCCTTGAAGAAATTACCAAACCCAAGACAAAATTACGAAGAAACGGACAGGGGATTTCGACTTATTTAGTGCCCAACTTCCATTTCTTTTATACTAAATTTGGAGTATTAAAAAAGAATTATATTCATCTTTTACTTGTTGACATGGACCACCTTAGATTAAAATTCTCAATCCATCGTATAGACCAAAACCAATCATACCCCACATGTATTCTTTATTCGGTGTGTGTTTAAATGAATTAGTATACATTAAGCATCTTTAAGCTTCTTTATATAAATTAACGAATTTTTAGACTTTTTTGTTACATGGATTTACATAAAGAAAATGAGGTTTTGCAAGATTCGTTAGCTTTTCTTTTAACATAGTTAAATTTAGTCTTAATAACCTAATGCGTTAGAAAAGTTGAGAATGAGTATACATTAAGTATACTTTAAGCTTCTTTAATATAAATAAACGAATTTTTAGACTTTTTTTACATGGATTATACGCGTAGAAGAAAATGAGGTTTTGCAAATTCTTAGCTTTTCTTATTACACAGTTAAAATTTGTCTTATAACCTAATGCGTTAGAAAAGTTGAGAATGAGTACATTAGCATACTTTAAGCTTCTTTAATATAATTAAACGAATTTTTAGACTTTTTTGTTACACGGATTATACGCTAGGAGAAAATGAGGTTTTGTGAGATTCTTAACTTTCCTTTTATATGGTTAAAATTTAGCCTTATAACCTAATGCATTAGAAAAGTTGAGAATGATTCATCCATTGTAGACGTCTAACTTATCCTACTAAATTTCACAGTTGAAATCTGACAAGTCCACAAAACCTCAACGATTTAGTTAATGTGTCTTATAATCTAAAATCATTTTCCTTCTAACACTTTTTATATATATATATATGTTGAAACTTAAAATGTAATAAACCTAGATGAATTTCATGTTTATATATTATAGCTAGCATGCTCAATGTTGAAAAGTTGGTTTAACTTTCCAGGCAATGCATAATAATATGGAAGGAGGAGCACAAATTAGAGCATTAAAAGTGAATATGCCCATATTTTGGTCAATATGAGTGCTGAATATGCACCTCTCTATATTTCGTCCACATTCATTGGAATTCTGCTTCCAGACTCAATACTACATGAGTTCATATCTGAAAATTTGCACAGTTGGAGGTGATACGCAAAGCTCTAATCAAAATATTGATAAAATAAATTTTTAGTTTATAAATATGAAATTACAATTAGGGACTAAAATATAAGTTCACGAAATTCTAGGTTAAACAAATGTCTCTATCGAATTCCTTTAATTACTAGGAATATTAACAAATTGTCAAATTTTATGTTAATATCAACAAATCAATGCTATTTTGAGGTTAAATTTGGACTTTATCTTAAAAATAAAAGCTAGATTGGTAATTAAATTGGTCCAAGGCCGAAGAACGAGTTACAAAGACCAAGCTCACACTGGGCCTTCCCTTTCCTTGGGCTTGGTCTTCTGCAAAGAGCAAATATGGCCGATAGACCCTATATTTGAATAGTGGTGGCCTCTCCCTATCCGTTAGATCAGTTTTAAAATTCGAGCTCTCCGACCTCGCTCCATGCAAATTTACGGATGTAAAACCATATACCTCCCTTTGACTTTTCGAATTAACACTAGGTCCAAACATTTAACATATTGCACAATTACCTCCCTTACTGTTAATTTCTGTCGTCAAAACTAACTGTACTAAGGGTGAAAAACTGAAAATGTATATTGACTAGAAACTCACGATGATATCGAAAAAATGCATTGGAACATGTGAAAAATCTTCTATTTGGTTATTCTTATCAAGCCAAAATCAAATGAAAAAAAATTGATTTCAGAAAATAAGGGACACACCCACCACATATTTTTAGCGGGAGAAAGACAAATCCTTTACTTATGACCTAGATATTGACAAATGAAGAAGACAAGCATAACCCCCTAGTGCAAAAACATCTAACCTGTTGAGATGTATCTAGCACAAAAGAAAATACCAAAGGAGAGACGAAATGGCTTTGGCCTCCAAATCCTAAGTTTTGCTTGCACTTAAATATGATTGATAGTACAATGTTTCTTCTTTCCGGGTTCCCATTTCTGAGAAAGAAAGAAAAAGAAGTCTTTTTCTTCCTCACCCTTTCTTTCTTTCTTTCCAAACAAGAAAAACAACGTGCATGAATGGTACCTAACCCCAACTAATCCCATTTATTTTGCGATATGGTTAATTTATATATTTCTAAATAAATTCCCACTATAAATCATGCCTAGGAAAAAAGTTGACAGAAATGTGGGAAATGGTCTTTGTCTTTTACTAATTAAATTTTTTAAAAGAAGAAAGTTTTAGGAAAATTCATGTCTCAACAGTCAATCCATTATACACGTATTGAGTTAGAGTTGTTGAGATGCAGGTATCTACTCTTGTCTCAACTCTTCAACTTTCGGTTAAATTAAAAAGCTTTTTGTACGTAATATTCAATGAAATTTAATTAGATGTTAAAGTGCATTTGATTGATTGAAAGCTTTAGCCATAATTCCATATATATAAATATCAACTTGATAGCTTTTAGGTAAATGTTTTAATGAATACCAAGAGATTAAACATGTAATTAAGAAACTAAAACAAGATTATATGGACTCTTAATTGCCTTAATTTCCACCCTTTTCCTTTCTCAGCTTTCAGAAACTCTCCTTCCTTGAAGAAATTACCAAACCCAAGACAACATTACGAAGAAACAGACAAGGGATTTCGACTTATCTAGTGCCCAACTTCCA